CCACCATGGCATGTGTATACTTATGTAACAAACCTGCATGTTCTGCACATGTACCCCAGAACTTAAAGTATAATAAAAAAAATAATAACAAAATTCCGCCCCCAATCCAAGGCCACCAATAATTTAATTAAAGTCTATAAAATAGGACACACACACAAGTCACTCTGTTTCCTTGACTCCACAACTTGTATATGTGGCTTATAATGCATTTACTTTATTATCAGTCTCAATAAACTCTGGGGGAGAAAGCCGGGGGTAACCCACTTAATTCTTTCATGAAATGTCTAACATGGCCTCGAGTGTGTGGGATCTTTTCTCAAGCCCCCATGCCTGAGTGCTACTTGCTGATGGCCCTTCCCCATGATTGAGGAAGCTGAGTCACTAGCTGAACACTAAGTACAAGACAGCATGAGAATCATGCTTGCAGCTGCAGTTAGCTGGGGGGCTGGTAGAAGGCACTGCTCCATGATTGCATATTCTGAGTTCTGCCATCTTAATGATATGTGTATATGTTTTCTATCTTTGAAGATACTTGCATTTTTACATATCAGAATCCCAAGGCTGAGAAATAAAAATTTTAAAAATTAAAAAGAATAATAATAATAAAAATAAATGACCCATCATTAACAACCAGATTTTGGCAGATTTAAGTATCCTGGCCCTAAGACAATCTTAATAACTCTAAGATCTTAAAAGGTTAAACTTTGTTTTTCAATATTCTTAGGAAGAAGAGAGAGAAAGAAAATCATTATAGACAATAAAAAATACAACTTAAATACTATTTTTTTTTTGCTTTTTTTTTTTTTTTTTTTTTTGAGACGGAGTCTTGCTCTGTCACCCAGGCTGGAGTGCAGTGACATGATCTTGGTTCATCGCAAGCTCCGCCTCCTAGGTTTAAGTGATTCTCCTGCCTCAGCCTCCTGATCAGCTAATATTACAGGTGCCCGCCACCAAACCTGGCTAATTTTTGTACTTTTCAGTAGAGACAGATTTTTACTATGTTGGCCAGGCTGGTCTCAAACTCCTGACCTCAAGTGATCTGCCCACCTCGACCTCCCAAAGTGCTGGGATTACAGGTGTGAGCCACCGCAGCTGGCCTGCAAATACTATTTGGAAGCAGCCTTTTGCTACTATCTGGTTGTGAAATTAATAACCCTCCTGCACTGGCTGCTGCAAACAGGCACATTTCAGGCTAAATTTTCATCCACACTGCAACCATGAGATCAATGTTCTTTACCCCTTCAACCTCATGAGCACGCTATTTTAAAAGAAATAACTTTCCATGAAGAATTCATGGAATGGGAAATAAAAAAGCAAGCAGAGGCCAGTTTAGATTAAAAGAGGCATAACAACCAAAGTTAGCACGTGAAGATTGTTTGGACCCAGATTTAAAGCAAAATTTTTCAGATAATGAGGAAATGATACTGTTCAGGTAAGAGTAAGGAAACTTGGCCAGTTACGGTGGCTCATGCCTGTAATCGCAGAACTTTGGGAGGATGAGGTGGGCAGATCACCTGAGGTCAGGAGTTCGAGACCAGCCTGGCCAACATGGCGAAACCCTGTCTCTACTAAAAATACAAAAATTAGCCAGGCATGGTGGCGTGCGCCTGTAAGCTCAGCTACCCAGGAGGCTGAGGCAGGAGAATCGCTGGAGCCTGGGGGGCAGAGGCTGCTGTGAGCTGAGATCGCACCATTGCACTGCAGCCTAGGGCGACACAGCAAGATTCTGTCTCAAAAAAAAAAAAAAAAGAAAGAAAAAGAAAAGAAAAAAGAGTGAGGAAAGTCAACTAAGGGCTACAGATGAGCTGACACCAAAAAATCACTGTAATTTTGTCACATGTGATGAGATAGTAGCTGTGTAAGAAAACATTAATGCTGTTTGGAGATGCATACTGAACAGATAAAATGACGTGATGACTGATTTGCTTTACAATATCCCTGCAAAGGGAGGCAAAGGAATAGAAGAACAAAATGTGGGACAATCTTAATGATCACAGAAATTGAGGAATGGGTATTTTAGTGTTCATTGTACTATTTTCTCTACTTTTGAATAGGTATAAAAACTGCAATTTAAAAACGTAAAAAAAGAGCCAGGCGCGATGGCTCATGCCTGTAACCCCAGCACTTTGGAAGGCTGAGGCAGGTGGATCACTTGGGTCAGGAGTTCAAGACCAGCCTGGCCAACATGGTGAAAGCCTGTCTCTACCAAAAAAAAAAAAAAAAAAAAAAAATTCAGCCAGGTGTTGTGGCAGGCACCTGTAGTCCCAGCTACTCAGAAGGCTGAGGTAAGAGAATTGCTTGAACCTGGGAGGCAGAGGCTGCAGTGAGCCAAGATCATGACACTGAACTCCAGCCTGGGCGACAGAGTGAGAATTCACCTCAAAAAAAAAGTAAAAAAGAATTGACTGATCCCTGCTCTGAAGCCACATCCAAACAAAACTCTAAAAAGAAAGATTCAAGCAATTTATATCGTGCTATTTATATACAGATCTCCCTTGCACCTCTGTATGTAACATTCAAATATTTTGCAACCTGATGGTTGGGGGTGGCTCAAAGCTCGGCATGGTGGCAGGTACCTGTAGCCCTAGCTACTTAGGAGACTGAGGCAGGAGGATAACTTGAGCCCAGGAGTTCCAGTCCATTCCAGACAACATAACAAGACCCTGTTTCTTTCTTTCTTTCTTTCTTTTCTTTTTTTTTTTTTTTTTTGAGATGGAGTTTCACTCTTGTTGTCCAGGCTGGAGTGCAATGGTGCAATCTCAGCTCACTGCAACCTCTGCCTCCTGGGTTCAAGTGATTCTCCTGCCTCAGCCTCCCAAGTAGCTGGGATTACAGGCACACGCCACCACGCCCAGCTAATTGAGTATTTTTAGTAGAGATGGGATTTCTCCATGTTGGTTAGGCTGGTCTCGAACCCCCTACTTGAGGTGATCCACCCGCCTCAGCCTCCCAAAATGCTGGGATTACAGGTGTGAGCCACCACACCCAGCAGACCCCGTTTCTTTAAAAAGAAAAGTTGGGGAGCCATCAGGGAGCTCATTGATGAATTATTTTGGTGATAACTGCCATCAAAACACAACTATAAAATCCAAAATTATATCTATTGCCAGATCTTTCTCCTTACTTCCGGACTTATTTATCCAACTGTCTCCTTCACCTCCACACCTCAACTTAAATGTCAACTTGAAAGAAATTAATTATTAATTAATTAATAATTTAATTATTTATTAGTAATTAATGTTTTTGTTCTTAGATTGGCTTTCCTCTAACATCTCAACATTTGTCTTAAATTCTTACTTCATGATATTAGCACCAAATCTGAAGGGCTCTAGTATAGGAACTCTTTGAGATAAGAAACATGTGTTTTTGAGAAACCACACAAAATGAAATAATTATCACAGTTGTAAAAACAAATATGCCCATGAACAAATAACAGTAAAATATTAGAGGCTTTTGGTCACACTAGAGAGGATGTTAAATAAAATTATTCTGTTAATTCAACAAGGAAATATATAAACCTAATTCTAACGAACTTTTTATAAAATAAAAAAGAACCAATTGGAGTTGAGAGTGAAAAGTGGAAGTTTAGAAGGAGGTGAAGCCAACTACAGAACGTGCTCATCACATATCATCAAGGCTGATCCAATCACACCCCCTGCCTCCCCATCCCCCTTATTCCACTTAATTATTTCCCAGACCTTATACCTTCTTACATAGTAAATCTCTCTTACTTACTACACATGTTTCCCCACCAGATTGAATGCTCCAGAATGCACGGGGCAGGGCACTGTCTTCTGCACTGCCCAGTTCCCGGCACCTGACTCACAGGTGCCAAATGACTGCAGGATTATGAGGTTGGAAGTAGTAAATATTTCCTGAATACTTGCAGTGGTTCACAGCAATGAAAAATCTAAGATTTCTTCTCTCCCTTTCAGGAACCTTAGAGAAAGCAGCAATACTGTCAGAGGTGTTTGAATGACAGCAACTCAATCTTAAATAGGAGCTGGGTAAAATGAGGCTGAGACCTACTGAGCTGCATTCCCAGATGGTTAAGGCACTCTAAGTCACAGGGTGAGGGAGGAGGTCAGCACAAGATACAGGTCATAAAGACCTTGCTGATAAAATGGATTGCAGTAAAGAATCCAGCCAAACCCACCGAAACCAAGATGGTGATGAGAGTGACCTCTGGTCATCCTCACTGCTACACTCCCACCAACGCCATGACAGTTTACAAATGCCATGGCAACATCAGGAAGTTACCCTATATCGTCTAAAAAGGGGAACCATAAAATAATCCACTCCTGGCCAGGTGCGGTGGCTCATACCTGTAATCTCAGCATTCTGGGATCACCTTAGGTCAGGAGTTTGAGACCAGCCTGGCAATGTGGTAAAACCCCATCTCTACTAAAAATACAAAATCAAATTAGTTGGGTGTGGTGGTACGCACCTGTGATCCCAGCTACTCGGGAGGCTGAGGCAGGAGAATTGCTTGAACCCAGGAGGTGGAGGTTGCAATGAGCCGAGATCACACCACTGCACTCCAGCCTGGACTCCATCTCAAAAAAAAAAAAAAAAAAAGTAAGAGAGGCTGGGCATGGTGGCTCACAACTGTAATCCCAGCACATTGGGAGGCTGAGGTGGGTGGATCACCTGAGGTCAGGAATTTGAGACCAGCCTGGCCAACAAGGTGAAACTACATCTCTATTAAAAATACAAAAATTAGCTGGGCATGGTGGCAGGTGCCAGTAATCCCAGCTACTTGGGAGGCTGAGGTAGGACAATCGCTTGAATCCAGGAGGCGGAGGTTACAGTGACCCAAGACCACACCACTGCACTCCAGCCTGGGTAACGTGAGTGAAACTCCATCTCAAAAACAAAACAGTAAGAGAAAACTGGAGCTGAGTCCTGCTCATTATATTTACTTTCCTAAAATAAAACAACATTATAAAAAACATTACTCAGTAATATACTTTAGTTGAAAGGGGAAAAAACAGACTTACCAAAATTTTTTGCAGAAAAGCTGATCCACCATCTTTCTTAATTTAGTGATTCTGGCATACCATTCTTCCTTTACTGTCGAAATCACAGGAATACAAGTTTTCTCAATTTAGTGGGTTTAATAGCTTGGGTTATTAAATATTATTATTATAAAATAAGCAGTATTATTTTTTCTTTTCCTGTGACTAAAGTTATTTCTAAGATCCAGAATGTATTTATTACTGAAACAATGCTGACACACACTGCACAAAAAAGGAAGAACCAGACATTCATTAAAGCTAGGAAAAAGCAGAATTCAGTGTGCTCAAGAACCACTAGCGGGCCAGGCGCGGTGGCTCACGCCTGTAATCTTAGCACTTTGGAAGGCTGAGGTGGGCAGATCACCTGAGGTTGGGAGTTCGAGACCAGCCTGGCCAACATGGTGACACCCCAGCTCTACTACAAATATAAAAATTAGGCGGGTGTGATGGCAGGTGCCTGTAATCCCAGCTACTTGGGAGCCTGAGGCAGGAAGAATTGCTTGAACCTGGGAGGTGGAGGGTGCAATGAGTTGAGATCACACCACTGCACTCTAGCGTGGGCGACAGAGCAAAACTCCATCTCAAAAAAAAAAAAAAAAAAAGAACAGCTAGCAGGTGCCATTTGGTATGGGGAGACTATGCATATAATCTTGCAGCAATTCTTCCATTTTAGTAAATCTAAACAGTGTGATTCCATTCTGTTTTGTCCCCACTCTACTCCAGAGCCAAAACAAGTAAGAAAATCAGTTATATTTCTGTTTCTTTCAAAACACATCTAACAATTAAGAGACGATATGCATGGCTCCATATTCTAAAAGGAAACCTCTTATATCCTGGGTATCATGGACATTTGATGAATGTTTGCTCAGTTGTTTGGTGCAAGCTTCAATAATAACCTGTTCAATGCATTATGCCAGATAAATCTTGCATCTCAAAAGTAGGAAAAATATTGTTCTTTTAGTTCTGTCTACCCATAAATGCAACATTTACATGTATTTATAATGGGTTAATAAAAATAAAATGAATTTACTGTTCTAGAGAGTATTAGAACTTTGACAACATGAATTCTCCTGTCCTGGCATGTAATTAAAAGTTAGAGGAATATTATTTCATGTGGAAGATACCATTAAAAAAATCAATGTTAAGCATTAAATAATTATTTTACATAATCTTCTAATCTGACTTAAGACTGAAGACCTACCTCCTGAAGCTGGTTTATCAAGTTGTAAATCTTCATGTGTCGAACTCACAAGTTCATGTCTGCAAGGTGAGAATAAATACTTAATATTCACTAGGCAATATTCAGCAAAGTAATATCCATTAGTACATATTTAACATTTAATCACCAAGGGTGGCTTTGGAAAGAAAAGACAGGCTGGGCACAGTGGCTCACACCTGTAATCCCAACACTGACTGAGGCAGGCAGATCACAAGGTCAGGAGTTCGAGACCAGTCTGGCCAACATGGTGAAACCCCATCTTTACTAAAAATACAAAAATTAGCCAGGCATTGTGGCAGGTGCTTGTAATCCCAGCTACTCAGGAGGCTGAGCTAGGAGAATCACTTGAACTTGGGAGGCAGAGGTTACAGTGAGCTGAGATCACACCATTGCACTCCAGCATGGGTGACAAGAGTGAAACTCCAGCTGAAAAAAAAAAAAAAGAAAAAGAAAAAGAAAAAAAGAAATATACCATTACTTTAAGGCAATGTAGATACAGCCAGAATTTCTACAGAAATCTGAACCACATTACAAAACTAAAAAAAAAATACCAGCTAATATCATTTAAAACATATAGCACTAAACGGAATAGGTAATGTTTTCTTTTTTTTTTTTTTTTTTTTTTTTTTTTTTTTTTTTTTTTTTGGAGACGGAGTCTCGACTCCAGTCTGGGAGTGCAGTGGCGCCGGATCTCAGCTCACTGCAAGCTCCGCCTCCCGGTTTTCGCTAATTCTTCTCGGCCTTCAGCCTCCCGAGTAGCTGGGACTATAGGCGCCCGCCACCCGCCCCGGCTGTTTTTTTTTTTGTATTTTTTTAGTAGAGACGGGGTTTCACTGTGTTAGCCAGGATGGTCTCGATCTCTGACCTCGTGATCCACCCGTCTCGGCCTCCCAAAGTGCTGGGATTACAGGCTTGAGCCACCGCGCTCGGCCTGTTTTCTTTTTTTTTTTTTTTTTCTTTGAGAGTCTCAGATGCAATGGCACGATCTCGGCCCACTGCAACCTCAGCCTCCTGGGTTCAAGCACTTTCTGTTTCAGCCTCCCGAGTAGCTGGGACTACAGGCATCCACCACCATGCCCGATTCAGTTTTTTATTTTTAGTAGAGACGGTGTTTTCACCATATTGGTCAGGCTGGTCTTGAACTCCTGACCTCAAGTGATCCACCCACCTCAGCCTCCCAAAGTGCTGGGATTACAGGTGTGAGCTAACGCACCTGGCTGGAAAAGGTAAAATTTTCCAAACATAAACATTAGTGTAACTTTACTGGACTTAAAAAAATATTTTTTTTTTTAGTAAAAGAAGCAGAAGATTCTCCTGAACTGCATCATTTCAACTAGCATTTATTTACTCATGATTAAAATAATACAACAGCTATAAAAAGTCAAGAGGTGGCCAGGTGCAGTGACTCATGCTTGTAACCCCAACACTTTGGGAGGCCAAGGCGGGTGGAGCACCTGAGGTCAGGAGTTTGAGACCAGCCAGGCCAACATGGTGAAACTCTATCTCTACTAAAAATACAAAAATTAGCTGGGCATGGTGGCTCTCACCTGTAGTCCTAGCTACTAGGGAGGCTGAGGCGGGAGGATCGCTTGAACCTGAGAGGTGGAGGTTGCAGTGAGCTGTGATCACGCCACTGCATCGCTCTGGGTGACAGAGCAAGACTTTGTCTCAAAGGAAAAAAACAAAAGTCAAGAGCATAGGGAGTATTAAAATCAGACAGAATCAATGGTGTCTCATCTGAACAGCTCCATTTTTTTGCTATCATTATGTGTTAAGGTCTACTTGCTACTAAACATTAATATTTGTACTAAAGTTTCAAGTGTACCACATAACACATTAGTGCTGACTTAGGTTTAATGTCCTTTGCTGTACACTATACTTGAATATTATACTTACATATCACAACAAAAGATTTTCTAAGGCAATTAATATTAATACTGCTTTAAAATTATAAAATGTGGGCCGGGTGCGGTGACTCATGCCTGTAATCCCAGCACTTTGGGAGGCCAAGGCAGGTAGATCACAAGGTCAAGAGATCAAGACCATCCTGGTCAACGTGGTGAAACCCTGTCTTTACTAAAAGTACAAAATTACCTGCGCTGGGGCGGTGGCACATACCTGTAGTCCCAGCTACTCGCGAGGTCGAGGCAGGAGAATTGCTTGAACCTGGGAGGTGGAGGTTGTGGTGAGCCGAGATTGTGCCATTGCACTCCAGCCAGAACAACAAAGCAAACTCCGTCTTCAAAAAAAAAAAAAATTATAAAATGAAGATTGTTTTTATAATTTCACAACACCTGAATATAATTGTCTTTAAACTAAATAATAAATCACCATCACAACAAAAGCCTCACAACATAATCTGTTTCACTTTATAAAAAGCACTGACATTTAAAAAATTATCATGGTCAATTTATAAAACTGTAATAGCAAATTATTTTTACTCAGAATAGTACTAAATTAACAATATAATGTAAATATAGACCAGGTGTGGCGGCTCATGCCTGTAATCCCAGAACTTTGTGAGGCCGAGGCAGGTGGACCACTTGAGGTCAGGAGTTCGAGACCAGCCTGGCCAACATGGTGAAATCCTGTCTCCGCAAAAATACAAAAATTAGCTGGGAGTGTTGATGCATGCCTGTAATCCCAGCTACTTGAGAGGATGAGGCAGCAGAATTGCCTGTAATCCCAACTATTCGCTGAGGCAGGAGAATCTTGAACCTGGGAGGCGGAGGTTTCAGTGAGCTGAGATCGTGCCATTACACTGCAGTCTGGGCATCAGTGTGAGACTCTGTCTCAAAAAAAAAAAAAAAAAGATAAAAGTAGAGACAATAGGGGCATCTTGGTGAATACCAAATTTAACAAAGCAGATTAAGAGAAAAAATTAGTTTCAAAAAATAATATTCAATTAAATCCCTAAGATCCAGGGCTTTGCAATAAATATATAAATAAACCCCCAATATCCATGCTGAAAGTTTAAAAGAAATGCTAACGATAATTAAACAAATAGAACTTTTCCTCAGCTTTGCAGTAATCTAGAAACAAAGAATGTTTCTAATATTTAGACAGAAACTACAAAGCAACTTACAAGGAGAGACGTGTAAGGATGGTAGGATTCACCAGCAGCCCTGGGCTTGTCCACAGTACCCCCATGATAAACAATAACTCCATTGTGTATATGAACAAAGTATTACACGACTTTTCCAATTTAAACATATCGTATTTTCTTTCAGACAATTCTTCAACTTATTTACATAGATCAGCGATATGATTATTCCATTTCTCTGAAAACTGAGCAAAAGCTGATTCTCAATAATATGTCCCTAGGTCAGAGTGGCACTAACATATGACTTATTTCCTACATTTTACATACTAACAGTCCATATCATTTTACTGCTTTTGGAAACATTTTTCCCTTTTTTGGTGGTTCTTAGAATTAGTTTAATGGGAGACTATAAGAGAAGTTTTAAAGTTTAGTACCTCTTTTTAACCTTTTAATTTCTGAAAAGCAGGAAGGCAGAAAAGATCAATCAAATTAAACACGACAACAGGGAGGCCACAATGAGGAGGTCTCCGGGGGTCTTTTAGCAAACTTCCTAAAACATGTCTCAGTTGTGTGGAAATAAGATTTTACAGCAGCTGGGTTCAGTGGTGCAGGCCTGTAATCCTAGCACTTTGGGAGCAGAGGTGGGCGGATCACTTTGAGCTCTGGGCAACAAAGCAAAAACCCCCCTCCCCTCCCCAACCCCTTGCCTCCACCCCCATCTCTACCAAAAACACAAAACTTAGCCGGACATGGTGTCAGGTGCCTGTAGTCCCAGCTACTCAGGAGGCTGAGGCAGGAGGATCACGTGAACCCAGGATGCAGATGTTGCAGTGAGCCAAGGCTGCGCCACTGCCAGCCTGGGTGACAGAGCAAGACTCTGTCTCAAAAAAGAAAAAAAGAAAAAAAAAAAAAAGATTAAGTAAGAGGGACCCCAGACCTTAAAAATACAAGTTTAAGAGGGACCCTGACTGAGCGTGGTGGCTCATGCTGGGACATTGGGAGGGCGAGGCAGGCGGATCACCAAGTCAAGAGATCTAGACCATACTGGCCAACATGGTGAAATCCCACCTCTACTGAAAATACAAAAAGTTAGCTGAGGGTGGTAGGTGCGCACCTGTAGTCCCAGTTACTAAGGAAGCTGAGGCAGGAGATTTATGTGAACCCGGCAGGTGGAGGTTGCAGTGAGCCGAGGTAACGCCACTGCACTCTAGCTTGGGCAACAGAGCAAGACTCCATTGAGGCAAGGTTTCTCACTCTCAGGTCCGAGGGGTTCAATAACCAGGCCCTTAGGGAGGTGTGAGCCCCCTGAAACGATGCAAGGTTTTGTGTGGAGAGCGTGCACATGTGTTTCTGGGAAAATGGTCCACAGCTCTCATTCTCAGCAGGCTCCACACAAAAACGGTTAGAACTCTTGCTACAGAGCTGTGGGAGCAGCTAGGTGAGGGGCCTGCCAAGGGCACTCTGGGGACTACCTGGGCAGTCTTGAGCCCACCTGGGCAGTCCTGAGCCCACTGTCGCCTAGGCAGGCTGCGCTGCTTGGCATTTGCAGAGCTGAGGTGATGGGGCATGCAGGGACTGTGAAATCGCCCTGAGATGACCCACAGTCCTCAGCTGGGAAGTGAGGGGTGTGTATCCTGCAGCATCCTCCATCCCTAGGGCCATGGGGCCAGGAGAACTGGCCCTTGCAGCAAGTGAAAAGCCTATTATTGACTCCCTCCCTGGCCATGTAGACAGTGAACCAAAGGCACTCATATCAAGTAAATGCCTTGGTCTCTGTGACCGAGGTGCCCAGTAGGCATTCCCAGGTGCAGGGAAGGTCCTGACACCAACATATGCACCTGGTCACCTAAGGAAAGAGAAAGGACTATCCAAGGGGATGGGGCTGAGCTGGGTGTGGAGTGGTCCTTATGGGTCTTGGTGAGCAGGATGGGGAGGAGCATGAGCCAGGCCTCAGGGCAGGACAACCAGGAGACGGCCTGGAAAAAGTGCTGGACCCACGAGGCTTCAAGGCTGGCCAGAGAGGGAGGCAGGATAGGCTGGGAAGTCCCGAGGTCTGAAGATTGGCCCTGGCAGGCAGAAACCAGGTAAGATGGGCAGTTACCTGCATCCTGGGGGGCCAGATGCATCCTTAGCCCAGAGCAGGTGCCAAGATTTCTGGCTCTGGGTGTGACTTCAGTCTGGGGAAAAGCCCCAACCCCCACCAGGACCACCTGCCCCCCAGAGTACTTCAGATGCTAAGCCCAAGCAGGGGCAGGAAGCTGGACTGATGCCTGGGGTATCCCAACAAAGTCCCTGCTACCCCCAAGCTATGGGGCTAAAGGGGGATTACAGCCCAAACCCCACATGCTGGCTCTCAAACTAACACTGAGCCCTCAGTGCCCAAAGGGAGATTCAATCAGCACACTTTCCAGATGGGAAAATGACCTCAGAGAAGTGGAAGAGCCTTGCCCAATGCCCCAGACCAGGGCTCTAGCCCAGAGTGTTCTTTTGTCACTGTGTCCAGAGGGCAGCAGCTACTCTGATGTACCCACCTGAGCCTGGCAACTTTCTCCAACTTTGGAAGCCCAGGAGCATGGCCCGTGTCCACAGATGCACCTGGCATGAGGCGTACCCAGAGGGACAGAGGCAGATGAGTTTCGCTTTCTCCACTGGATTGTGAGGGCCTCCAAGGAGACAAAGATCTGCTTGTGAAGGCAGCGGACAGTGAGCAACCGGGGGTGGTTTAACTCTAGATGGATCTGAAGTGCCTGGATGGGACCTGTCTCAGACAGAGCTCAGTTCTGCAGGTCACTTCAGGCATGGAAAGGTCACAGCTACCAAGTGTAGGAGTCTGGATTCAAAGCCAACAGCATGACTCCAAAGTCCCTGCCCTAGCCTCTGGACCACCCACCACTTGGAGTCACCCTTGCAAGCTCATCAGATGCTCAGGCCAGCAGCACAGCTGGCCAGGGCAAGGGAAACTTGGGGAACCTCAGAGGACCCCTAGGTATTCCAACCTAATCCTGGCACCACTGCCCCTCACCATCCTTCTTCCTGCGTTAACCTTACCCCCTACACAGAGCCTGGGCCACTTAACTTGGCATCAAACAGATGCCTCAATAAATCAGAGTCTGATCTTCTTGAAAAAAAAAAAAAAGACTTAACAGATATACAGTTGTAAGTTAGAATACTAAAGAACATAAACATACAACAACTTAATGAACATATAAATTCAATATATAGCCAATCATTGTAACTATGACATAATAGAATATTAAAATACTATTTTCAAAATGTATACAAGCTTAATGATCTATTTATATCCAAAATATGAATCATCAACATAATTTGCCACTAATATCTCATTCAGTCCCTTCACAGGACACACGATCCACTAGGAGTTAACAGATTAGCAGCTGACAGGCAGTGACACACAGCAAAAACGAAAATGAAGAGATGAAATAGTTTTGAAATAAAGAAGGTTTTAAAGCTAAGAGAAACCATTGAATTATTAAGTTATTAGCACTAATTTTGAGTCAACTAACTAATTAATGTCAGATGAAACAATGTCCTATGCTTTGGTAAATTCAAACGATGTGGGCCGGGCGCGGTGGCTCAAGCCTGTAATCCCAGCACTTTGGGAGGCCGAGATGGGCGGATCACGAGGTCAGGAGATCGAGACCATCCTGGCTAACATGGTGAAACCCCGTCTCTACTAAAAAATACAAAAAACTAGCTGGGTGAGGTGGCAGGCGCCTGTAGTCCCAGCTACTCGGGAGGCTGAGGCAGGAGAATGGCGTGAACCCGGGAGGCGGAGCTTGCAGTGAGCTGAGATCCGGCCACTGCACTCCAGCCTGGGCGAAACTCCGTCTCAACAAAAAAAAAAAAAAAAAAAAAAAAAATTCAAATGATGTTTAAACAATGTCTATAATGTGACTTTCAAAAAGCTCCTGGCTTTACAAAGGTGACATTATAATGTAGTAATACATGCTAAAGCATGTCCCCCTGCAGATGAGCATGTTGTAACTTTCATCAGTCACACTGAGAGTCCAGAAGATGAAGGAAAAGGTCGTGGATTTCACTGAGAACTTACCAGAGTTGAACTCCCTCACTTTCTGTTGCCCAACATTGGCAGGTTCTGGAACTGGTGGCTGTGGTGGCTCGTTGGTCTTTGGTCTCTTAGAAGATGGAGAATCATCATCGTCTTGCAAAAGAAAATGGTCATTACTGAAGGAATCATCTTAGGTTACAGCCACCTCCTAGTCAATTCCCAACATTCAAAAGGTAAGTGGCTTTAAAACTATTTTGAGTATTAATAATTATTCCTGTATTATGATCATTAGCATACCTTTTTCTAGTTGCATCTGAAATTTTATTTTTTTGGGATGTGCTCGAGTGAATACTGTTTTATCCTCTGTCTTGCTTCATTATTTTTTAGTTTGCTTCATTTGAATCATCATTACAAATCTCCCCTTGCCCTCAAATAACTCTGAAATTGCTGCCAAGAACTATATTCTATTTTAAGGCTTTTCAGAAAAAACTTTCAACAAAGACAGCCACCTAAAGTTATACAAATACAGAAGAAAGGGGATCTAATAAAGCTTAGACTGGAAAAAATATTTAAGCTTATACAAAATTCAAGCATACATAAACAAGGGAAGCTGGATAATTGTATGTTCAAATACTTTTAATAAGTGCAAAACATATATGCTTAAAGAAATAGGGCTGGCCGGGCGTGTTGGCTCATGCCTGTAATTCCAACACTTTGGGAGGCCAAGGCAGGCAGATCACTTGAGGTCAGGAATTCAAGACCATCCTGGCCAACATGGTGAAACCCCATCTCTACTAAAAATACAAAAATTAGGCTGGGCGTGGTGGCTCACACCTGTAATTCCAGCACTTTGGGAAGCTGAGGTGGGCGGATCACCTGAGGTCGGGAGTTCAAGATCAGCCTGACTAACATGGAGAAACCCTCTCTCGATTAAAAATACAAAATTAGCCAGGTATGGTGGCACATGCATGTAATCCCAGCTACTCAGGAGACTGAGGCAGGAGAATCACTTGAACCCAGGAGACGGAGGTTACAGTAAGCCGAGATGATGACATTGTACTCTAGCCTGGGCAACAAGAGCAAACTCTGTCTCAAAAACAAAAACAAAAACAAAAAAATATTAGCCAGATGTGGTGGCGCCTGTAATCCCAACTATCTGGGCAGCTGAGGCAGGAGAATCGCTTGAACCCAGGAGATGGTAGTTACGGCAAGCTGAGATCGTGCCACTTTACTCTAGCCCGGGTAACAGAACGAGACCCTGTCTCAAAAAAAATAGGGCTATATTATTTATGAAACAGATACTGTTGACTCAGTCACCAGAAAGCCAAGGTCGCCAACATTAGACAAATTAGCCGGAGGACCTATGTATGTGCTCTGAAAGACAAAACTGCTTTTGTAAAGAATACTGTATTTTAGAAAAACATAATCACATTAACAACTAATAACACTGTAAAATTAACTATCTAGAGACATAATCTCATTCTATTGCTCAGGATGGAGAGCAGTGGGATGATCAAAGCTCACTGCAGCCTTCAGCTCCTGGCCTCAAGTGATCCTCCTGCCTCAGCCTCTTAAGTAGTTTGGGCCACAGGTGGACACAGGTACACCTGACTCTTTTTTGCTTGTTTTGTAGAAGCAGGGTTTCACTACATTGCCCAGGCTGGTCTCAAGCTCTGGAGTCTCGCTCTGTCGCCCAGACTGGGGTGCAGTGGTGCGATCTCGGCTCACTGCAACCTCCGCCTCCTGGGTTCAAGAGATTCTCCTGTCTTAGCCTCCCGAGTAGCTGGGACTACAGGCATGTGCCATCATGCCTGGCTAATTTTGTATTTTTAGTAGAGATAGGGTTTCTCCATATTGGTCAGGCTGGTCTTGAACTAACCTCAGGTGATCCGCCCACCTCAGCTCCCCAAAATGCTTTGATTACAAGTGTGAGCCACCACACCAGGCCTATTTTTTGTAGAGACTGGGTTTCACCAAGTTGGCAAGGATGGTCTCGAACTCCTGACCTCAGGTGATCCACCCGCCTCACCCTCCCAAAGTGTTGGGATTACAAGCGTGAGCCACCGCACTTTCTTATGTTATTAAATAGCCCAGGAGGGTGCGGTGGCTCAGGCCTGTAATCCCAACAACTTTAAAAGCCAAGGTGAAAACATGCTTGAACCCAGGAGTTAGAGACCGGCCTGGGCAACATAGCAAGACCACCATCTCTACAAAACACACAAAAATTAGGCCAGGCAAGCACGGCGTCCGGCTAATTTTTGTATCTTTTGTAGAGATGGGGTTGCGTCATGCTGCCCAGGCCCGTCTTGAACTTCTGAGCCCAAGCTATTCTCCTGCCTTGGCCTCCCAAAGTGCTGGAATAACAGGGCCCAGGCAGCCTCATGTTTTCTTTAAGCAGTCCCTCCCGGTTGTACACTTGGATAGTTTTCCTTTTCTTTCTTTTTTTTTTTTTTTAATACAGGGTTTACCTCAGTCTCGCAGGCAGGAGTTCTGTGGTGGGATCATAGCTCACTGGAGCCTTGAACCTTGGTGTTCAAGTAGTTGGGAGGCTGAGGTTGGACTACAGAGATGGGGTTGCGCCATATTGCTAGGCTGCTCCTGGCCTGAAGGGATCCTCCCACCCCGGCCGCGCCCGGATATTCTTTTCTATTTTTGACCGACATAAATACTGCGCTGGGTGGGAGTTTATCAGCTACCCCTTTCCAGCCCGCAACACACAAGAACTGGCCGAGAGGTCGCCGTTACCAGGCTCCACTCTGAGAAGCCTCCCCAGCTCCAGGCACTGTACCGCCCGTGACGTGGCAGAACACCCGCCCCTGTGACGTCACCGAAGGCACCCCCCCCCCCCCAGATGGCGCAAAGGCCCGCCCCTCACGCAGAGCCAATCGGAACTCGAGGTGGGAGTGCTGGGTCTTCCAGGAGCGCGCTTGCGCGCGAGGGTGACTACCGGCGGCCGGCTGGTATGTCGTGTCCGCAGGCTTCAATCCAGCGGCTGCCACCCGTAAGCTACCAGGAGGAGCTTTATCACCACCTGGACTACTATACCTGCCTGACTTCCCGGCCTGCGGGGTCCGCGCAGCAAAGACCTGACGCTACTGGAGCAGGCGCTATGCACCTACCGGCTGGCGCCTGGTGGGTACCAGCGCAAGGTCGCCCAGAAGCTCCTCAATGGCCGGCGCAAGCGCCAGCCAGCACCAGCTGCAGCCCCGGCGGCGAACTCGCCTCAGCTGAGCCTGGGTACGTGCACCCCCCAACACTTTCCCCAGCCAGGTTTCGGGAACCTCGGGAGCGTCCCCCACCGCCCGGTGCCACCGGTGCTGGGCAGGGAGGGTTGGCCCCATCTGAGGCTGTCCCGCATTAGGGAGCTGCACCAGCTTGACCTCTGACTGCCGTTGCAATAGCATTAAAACCTTTGGAACTTTGTAGGTGGGTAGAAGGGGCTAGGAAACAAAGAAAACATCTTTTTAAAAATTTATATAAGAGATTGGCCGGGCGCAGTGGCTCACACCTATAATCCCAGCACTTTGTGAGGCCGAGGTGGGTGGATCACGAGGTCAGGAGTTGAAGACCAGCCTGGCCAGCGTGATGAAACCCCGCCTCTACTAAAAATACAAAAATTAGCTGGGCGTGGTGGCGGGCGCCTGTAATCCCAGCTACTCGGGAGGCTGAGGCAGAGAATTGCTTGAACCCGGGAGGCGGAGGTTGCAGTGAGCCGAGATTCGCCTTTGCACTCCAGCCTGGGCAACAAGAGCAAAACTCCGTCTCTAAGTAAGTAAGTAAGTAAGTAAGTAAGTAAAGTAAGTAAGTAAATAAGTAAGTAAGTAAAGTAAGTAAGTAAATAAATAAGATTTTCAAGGCCAGGCATGGTGGGTCACACCTAAATAAGCAAATAAATTGGACTTTCAAGGCCAGGCATAGGGGGTCATACCTATAATCCCAGCACTTTGGGAGGCCCAGGCAGAAGGATTGCTTGAGCCCAGGAGTTCGAGACTAGTCTGGGCAACAGGGCAAAACCCTGTCTCTACCAAAAGCACAAAATAAGCTGGGCATTGTAGTGCGCACCTGTAGTCTGAGCTACTCAGGAGGCTGAGATGGGAGGATGGTTTGAGCCCGGGAGGCAGAGGCTGCAGTGACCTGAGATCGTACCACTGAACTTCAGCCTGGGTGATGAGCCAGACCCTGTCTCAAAATAATAATAATAATAATAATAATAATAAATTCATACAGTTTGGTATGGTTTAGTAAGTTTCAGCAGGCAGATTGTCAGGGTAAGATGGATTGTTATATATATACTTACATATATAACAATATGTATATTTATATACTTATTTTAGCAGAGATAGGGTCTCCCTATGTTGCCAGGCTGGTCTCAGACTCCTGAGCTCAAGCAGTCCTCCTGCCTTGGCTTCCTAAAGTGCTCACATTGCAGGTGCGAGTGACCATACCTGGCCTATAAGGGGAATTTAAGGGACTCTCTACTATGATGTCCCTTCTCCCAGTCCCTTTCCCCATGTAGAAGAGGGTTCTGCTGAGTGACTGGCATTTGCTTATATTTCTCAGTGCTATGCACAGTGTAATGGAAAATGCACAGACTGGCTCAAGAGCCCAGGGATTTCAGTTCCAGGCCAAGCTCATCCACTGACTGAGTCAGTCAAACCTCTATGGATTTCAGATTCTTCATCTGATTAACATAGATAACACTTATCCCATAGTACACTGCAAAGATGACATGTGATGGTGAACAAGTTAGTTTCCCTTTAAATATTAAGAATTAGGCCAGGTGCAGTGGCTCACACCTGTAACCCCAACACTTTGGGAGGCTGAGGCGAGTGGATCACAAGGTCAGGAGTTCGAGACCAGCCTGGTCAATATGGTGAAACCCCGTCTCTACTAAAAATACAAAAATTAGCTGGGTGTGGTGGTGGGCACCTGTAATCCCAGCTACTTGGGAGGCTGAGGCAAGAGAGTCACTTGAACCCTGGGAGGCGGAGGTTGCAGTGAGCATAATCACACCACTGCACTCCAGCGCCTGGGTGACAGAGTGAGACTTGGTTTCAAAAAAAAAAAGAATAAAAGAAAAAGAATGAGATTGGAGAGGGCCTTCATTCCTCCTAGAAATATGGATTACACTGTCGCCTACCGCACAGGGCCTTCACCATCTCTGCCGTCTGGAGAATTTATTCCCATTGGGAATCTCCCACTTGGCAGTTGGACCATGCTAGTAGCCTGTCCATTTCCTGCAGAGAAAAAAGAGAGTTATTGGTAATACATGCATATATATAAAACAAGTGATAATATTTGGATCGTATACAATACTCATGATAGTATAACAAAACAAAAAACGTGGAGGCTTAAAAATCTGGCTTTAAATTCCTTTTGTGTTTTGTTTGGCTTCACATTCTTGTTCTGTCACTTAATTTGATGGGAAACCTTAGACAAATTACTTAATCTGAGAATCAATTCCTTTTCTTTTTTCTTTTTTTTGTGACAGGATATCACTTGGTTACCCAGGCTGTAGTGCAGTGGTGCAGTCTTGGCTCAGTGCAACCTCTGCCCCCATGGGCTTAAGCAATCTTCCCACCTCAGCCTCCTAAGTAGCTGGGACCACAAGTGTGTACCACCATGCCTGGCTAATTTTTGTATTTTTTGTAGAGATGGGGTTTTGTTATGTTACCCAGGCTGGTCTCAAACTCCTGGGATCAAGTGATCCTTCCACCTCAGCCTCCCAAAGTGCTGGGATTACAGGTGTGAGCCAACACGCCTGGCTGAGATTCAATTTCTTCATCTGAAAAATGGGGATATCTATGGACAACTGTAGCTTGTTCATAAAAGAAAAAAAAATAAGTAACACGGAACCAGGTGCAATGGCTCAGAGACAGGGTACAGAGGCTAAGGCAGGAGGATTGCTTGAGCCCAGGAGTTCAAGGTTGCAATGAGCTATGATCATGTCACTGCACTCCAGCCTGGGTGACAGAGTAAGACCCTGTCTCAAAAAATAAAAAATAAAAAGAAATAAAATAGCATGGGTGAAATGTTGAGCACACGATAGATTTGCACTTACCTCTTTCTTCCTCTACACAAACCCTTGCCCCAGCTAGGCGAATTTAGACACTCTACCCTAAAATGCATTTAGCACTTTCTACCCATCCTTCTGCTCATGCTGTTTCTCTGCCTCTTCCTCTCCACTTACTGAACTCTTATCAGTTCTTAGTGATTCTCACCATTATATGCTCCAGAAGGGAAGTATATAATACATATATTTTTGACAGTATATCCCTGGCCCCTGCCATAAATGCGTAATGATTATCACCAGATAGTTAAATGAGCACCTTTAGACTTGTTTGAATGCCTAAGAAAAATGATAGAATTAAAAAGGACTGGCCCGGCATGGTGGCTTACGTCTTGGAATCCCAGCACTTTGGGAGGCCGAGGCGGGCAGATCACCTGAGTGCAAGAGTTGGAGACCAGCTTGGCCAACATGGCGAAAACCCGTCTCTACTAAAAATACAATAATTAGCCAGGCGCAGTGTCAGGTGCCTGTAATCCCAGGTACTCAGGAGGCTGAGGCAGGAGAATCGCTTGAATCCGCGAGGCGGAGGTTGCAGTGAGCCAAGATCATGCCACTGCATTCCAGCCTGGGTGACAAGAGCAAGACTCCGTCTCAAAAAAAAAGGAAAAAAAAATTAGGCATGATGGTGCACACCAGTAATCCCAGCTACTGGGGAGGCTGAGGCAGGAGAATCACTTGAATCTGGGAGGTTGTAGTGAGCCAAGATTGTGCCGCTGCACTCCAGCTTGGGGGACAGAGTAAGACTCTGTCTCAAATAAAAAAATAAAAAAGGGTCTTTGCTTCAGCCCCCTTATTCCACAGGAGGAAACCAAGACCCAAAAAAGAAATATGACTTAAAATGCTGGTTAACAGGAGACAGGACTGGATTCGGGTCTCTTTACCATGTTGTTTCCAACAGCCCACACTAACTCAGCTTGATGTACCACTTCAGCGTCTTTCCAAGAAAGGATGTCTAAGCACTGTAACTTCTTTCAAGGCAGAGTCCTGGTCTTTTGATGTTCCTTAAGATCCTATCTTTGGCTCTCTTATCCTGACACATTCACACTTATTTCATCCTTTTTTTTTTTCTTTGAGGCAGAGTCTCACTCTGTTGCCCAAGCTGGAGTGCAGTGGCAAGATCTCGGCTCACTGCAACCTCTGCCTCCCAGGTTGAAGCAACTCTCCTGTCTCAGCCTCCTTAGTAGCTAAGATTACAGGTGCGTGCCACCACGCCCAGCTAATTATTTGTATTTTTAGTAGAGATGGGGTTTCACCATATTGGCCAGGCTGGTCTTGAACTCCTGACCTCGTAATCTGCCCACCTTGGCCTCTCAAAATGCTGGGATTACAGTCATGAGCACCGCTCCCGGCCTATTTTCAGTTTCTTCAACAAATACATCTCAAGGGGAAAAAAATGGATCATCCTGGCGTGGTGTCTCAGGCCTGTAATCCCAGCACTTTGGGAAGCTGAGGCAGGGATTGCTTGAGGCCGCAGTGAGCTATGATGGTACCACTGCACTCCAGCCTGGGCAACACGGTGAGACCTTGCCCCCTGCCCCACCAAAAAAAACATGAGTAAGTAGGGAAATAATCAGATTGAATCAGAATTAAGAACATACAATTGCAATGTATGAGATTTTGTCCCTAATTCAGCCAGCAAACATTAAAAACCCTTTATGAGATGATAGATGAATTTGAACAGACTGGATATATTATTAAGCAGCACTGTCAGTTTTTTAGGTGAGAAACGATAATTATTTTTTCATCTAGCTGAAGGTTTAGAATAAAATGGGATACGTCTGGACCCACTTCAAAATGGCTCTAGGAGACGGGGAGAGTACGATTCTGCAGGAGCAGGACTGGCCACAAACTGGCAGCTCTTTAAGCTGGCCGACAAGTACATGGGGGCGGGGGTCATTCCTTGTTACATTCTCCTCTTTCCCTTTTTTTTTTTTTTGCGATGAAGTCTCACTGTCTCCTAGGCTGGAGTGCAATAGCACAATCTCGGCTCACTGCAACCTCCACCCCCTGGCTTCAAGTGATTCTCCTGTCTCAGCCTCCTGAGTAGCTGGAATTACAGGCCTGTGCCACCATGCCCGGCTAATTTTTTGTATTTTTGTGGAGATGGGGTTTCACCATGTTGGCCAGGCTGGTCTTCAACTCCTGACCTCAAGTGATCCACCCGCCTTGGCCTCCCAAAGTGCTGGAATTATAGGCGAGAGCCACCGCGCCTGGCCTCTCATTCCTTTTCATAGGTTTGAAAGATTCCAGAGCAAGTTGAAAGCACAAGGCGGTGAGGCACCACGCGCACCGAAAGCGACCTCCCCGGCTGGCCGCTGCAGGTGCATCCAGGAAGCAGGCACAGGGGCCTCAGGCTCAATCCCGCCAGGGCGGAGGGCCCCATCCCCTTTCCCAGTGCCCCCGGGTGACCAGCGGTTCAATGACCTAGCTTGAGCCAGGCACCAACCAGGAGCGACAGCAAGGACAGCAGCAGTGATGAACAACCCATGCTGGCATCAGGACTGGCGCACCACGCCACGCACGCCCATGGCCCTGCTGCTCATCCGCCCTCAGGCACCAGGGTGGCAGTCGCCCCCTGCACACATGCGCGTGCTGCTCCACCACCCGCCCTTCACCCAACAATTCAGCAGGGGGTAACTGATGGAGGCAAGGGGTAGGACTGGCCACACCACCTGCAGGGCCGCCCAGGGAATTAAGGAAAAGCACGTTGAGGGTCCCTAGAGGCCCTTTCACTACTTTTTAAACCTTTGGACAGTTTACACTACCTTTAAAATTGCATTTGTGCATCATACCATTGCAAGACCACAAAGGAAGTTTCAACTTAACATTTATTGCATGCTCACTTCAGGCCACTGCTGAGCCCCCAAAACACACAGCCTAGTAACATCAACATCACCTTCAAGGACTGCAGAGACAGATCAACAACTATATAAATAATATTGTGGAAACGTAGTTATTTGGGTGAGAAAAATATGATGCTAGAGGCTTTCAGAAACTTGAAAATACAGTTAGCCTACAAATCTCAAATTTAACCCCATAACTGTAGCCCTTAGTCACCACACCTTCCAGCTCTCTCAACTCCCTTGCCTCTAGTTTACTCCTCTTCCCATTTCCTACAACTTAACTTTGTAGGGGGAGCATTTTAGCAAGGCTATTTCAAAAGCATGAAAACTCCAACTGATCCAATGAATTTACTCAGAAATTTACACTAACAGGGATGCTCTCAAAATTTTAAATTACTTAAGCTTTATATTAGCATAAAAAATTTAAAACCAAATGCTTAACAATAGGGTACTGTTGAATAATTTAACATACGTCCACATAAAATTAAACTATTAAAATCTGCTTTTCAAGAAATATTTAATAATGTAGGTAATACATGCTTATCTAACGTGGAATTTTATGTCACTGCTGCTAAAGCAAAACATCCTGTTCACTGGGTGAAAGACCTGCTTTATGTATGTACACTTCAGTGCAACTTTTAAAAGAATACTGTAATTATAATCTCAGAACTTCCGAATTTCAACAGATGCCAGTGTTCTCTTCTTTTCTCATATGGGAAAATTCCTTTGAAACTCATTTGAAGCTTGGACAAAAACTCCACAGCTGTATTCCTCAGGATCACTTTGCAGAGTCTTCAAGACTCAGAGAGGAAGCTTCAATTCAACCTTTCAGAGAAGGCATTCCAGGCTCACATGATCTCATCAACCAAGAGAATGTTGGTGGCAATCACAGCGCTGAAAGGGGGACAAAAATTAGATGGCTCAGATGATTAAAAGCCCTGATTCGACTCAACTTCCCACTTCAACTAAGCTGCACACATACATCCAATTAAATTTCCCCCTTCCCCTCTACACATCAGAGGGTTAGTTCAGTTTCCACACTTTCAGCTGATTACATTGTTCATGGGGGAAAAGGAGCAACTAAACAGGACACACCAAATGAAAAGAGTATGATGATTCTCTAACAGTTTAGTTTTCTGTTTCCCAAACTTACCAAGAGTGATGAAGCTGTTTCTTTACACAATCGTTATCCTGTAACGCCTACTTCTGCTGCTACCACTGGCTCACCTAGAAGGCAACCAAACCTTAAATAAGTTCAGTCAATAAGAACCAACAATATTGTGTGATTGTGTGTGGCTTTGCTTATCACTGATGACTCATTTCCGCCAGTATTAACTATGAGAATTCAAAGCTTCTCTGTTAGCCCAGTTTTCTACTCTGAACCATGAACCCTGTCCACAATATTTGAGGAGTGTCTGACTTCTACTTAGAAGACCTGAACATCTCTCTCTTCTGGATACATTTCTGTTTACCCATAGTATAGTACTGCGACTATAATCTGGCTAAAATGGACTGATCATTTCCCTCATTCCAGAAACCTTTTTTATTAAATAATAATGTTGACAACAATAGGTCTTGCACATACTGCATGGATGTACCTGTTATCTGTCTTCTACTTTGTACTTAATTTGTGTTGTTTTGTTACAGGGGTCTAAGATCATTTCATTAGATTTCTAGATCCCCTTTTCTGGCACTATTTGCTATCTTTAGCTGTTTTTCACCCATGAATATAATCACCCAATCTATTTTCTTATCATAGTACTTGATTAAAAACTGAGTAAGGTGGCTGGGCGCGGTGGCTCACACCTGTAATCCCAGCACTTTGGGAGGCCGAGGCGGGCAGATCATGAGGTCAGGAGATCGAGACCATCCTGGCTAACACGGTGAAACCCCATCTCAACTAAAAATACAAAAAATTAGCCGGGTGTGGTGGCAGGCACCTGTAGTCCCAGCTACTCGGGAGGCTAAGGCAGGAGAATGGCATGAACCTGGAAGGCGGCACTTGCAAGTGAGCCGAGATAGCGCCACTGCACTCCAGCCTGGGGGATACAGCAAGACTCCGTCTCAAAAAGAAAAAAACAAAAAACAAACAAACAAAAACCCACTGAGTAAGGCAAATGCAATATGAAAATCCTTCAACAGTAATCTGAACCATCTACCACCACTCAACATCTCCAACAAAATTATCCCAAAATTACTCAGTCTACTCCCTTATTATATCTAATCATTCCATTTTTTATTAATATCCTATTTTATCCCATTTTCAGAACCTAGAGTTCCCTAATAGTACTGGTGTCAAATTGCAAAGCAAAAGATTTTTTTCTGGTCCCCATTTTTAATCTTTCCTGGCTTCAACTCTCATGTATTACATCTAGTTTTCCCTCTACAAAAAGTTGCATTCTCTTACCTGTGTTCAAGTTCACACCCACGAGCTGAACTGATTCTGAATGTTCTGCTTAAATTTTAACTAATGTTTCCTGAAGGTCAGAACCAGAATTCTGAGCAAGAACCTAAAGTAAACAAATTTAATTCTTGAGAAAACAGGAAGTAAGAATTGATAAGTTTAAAAAAAAAAAAAAAAAGGCACGGCTGGGCACGGTGGCTCACGCCCATAATCCCAGCACTTTGGGAGGCCCAGGCGGGTGGCTCATAAGGTCAAGAGATTGAGACTATGCTGGCCAACATGGTGAAACCCCGTCTCTACTAAAAATACAAAAATTAGCTGGGCATTGTGGCACGTACCTGCAGTCCCAGCTAGTCGGGAGGCTGAGGCAGGAGAATTGCTTGAACCCGGGAGGTAGAGGTTGCCGAGCCGAGATCATGCCACTGCACTCCAGCCTGGGCTACAGAGTGAGACTCTGTCTCAAAAACAAACAAACAAACAAACAAACAAAACGCAAAAGAAATCTCAGCTGGATGCAGTGGCTCACGCCTGTAATCCCAGCACTTTGGGAGGCCAAGGCAGGTAGATCACCTGAGGCCAGGAGTTTGAGACCATTCTGGCCAACATGGTGAAACCCCATCTCTACTAAAAATACAAAAAAAATACCTAGCCGGGTGTGGTGGCAGGTGTCTGTAATTACAGCTACTGGGGAGGCTGAGGTTGCAGTAGGCCGAGATCACACCACTGCGCTCCAGCCTAGACAACAAAAGCAAAACTTGCAAAGTTCTCAAAAAACAACAACAAAAAAACCACAAAAATCTATTGCATGAAGACAGAACATTTATGTTCCCTTCAGAGAATAACCAGACACAAGTTACTGATCAACTCTCTCATCTACCCCAAAGCAAGCAGCAATACACCAGTCATAAACTATACTTCAAAATTAGTATATAATAGAAAACAATGATATCAGTTTAACTAAAACCAAAACAAAAAGCAAGTTTGTACTCAAGTATAACCCCTAATACTGCAAATATTAAACTACAGGTTCTCTCTTGCCATCTGAAACGTCAGCTATTTAGGCCTCCCAGCGAAACCAAATACATCTGGATGATGAGGGATACCTGTTCTAGAGTCAGGAAGAAAACTGATCAAACTTGCTTATCCAAAATCCACATTATTAATAAAGCCTACATTATCAAAAAGGTTTGATGAGCTGAATCTTCTGGAAGATTGACTGTTTAAGGCATGTACACCTTGGGAATAACGAGCAACGCATCAGCAAATGCTTGGACTCCAAGCTGTGCCCTGCCCTTAACACTGAGCTTATATTTAATCACACAGCCTGTTGGATGGGGGAAAAAAAATACTAAGAAAACTGTAGAACTAATTTTATGAATAACAAAATACACATATGAAAGCCATCACTTTCTTACAAATTCACTATGACCACATCAATTTAAGTGCTGCATTTGAAAGCCACAATACAAGCGACTAACATATCAAATAGGAGAATGGCTCAACCAGAATGGCTTCACTAGCCACTGGCAGCTCTTTCAACAGATCAGTATTAGTTGATTTATTTGTATTCACCTTTAATAATGATATGCTATGAAAAACCTTAGCATATCATCAGTCATTCTAAAGGGAAGACTGCTTTTGCATGGTGTCTGGCTGTGTAAACTACTGATAAAAGAACACAGTATTCAGCCATGCTTTTCAGACCAGCAAAACAATATAATAGAATTGAAATATGGTAAGGACCTTACCATCATCAATAGCAATTTTGACAGCCCTCAAGCCATCCCTTACTGCATCTTTGATCTAAGTGTGGGCTTATTTGGTCCTTTGATCAATAATGTGACAGAACGAGGGTTGTTAACACTTCTCAATAAAGGTGAACTCCCTATGTGTAGAAGAAACATGACTGGGCAAAGAGTGAAGAGAGAAGAGGAACTTACAGAGAATGACAAGCAGCATATTAATAAGGAACAAACTTGATCACATTAAACCAAATTATCTCTTTTTGAAAAATCACATATAAATGTGATTTCCCCCATCAATGGCTTCCCATTACTACACATAAACCTTCAAAATGTATATAAACAAAAATCTGATCCTGAATTTCAATTAATTTTTCTGCTAAAGACTCCCTGAACCAGGCACAGTGGCTCATGCCTGTAATCTCAGCACGTTGGGAGGCTGAGGGTGAAGGACGGCCTGAACCCAGGAGTTTAAGACCTGCCTGGGCAACACAATACGACCCTGTTTTCTACAAAAATTACACAAAAAAATTAGCCATGCATGGTAGCACATGTCTGTGGTCCCATTTGCTCAGGGGCCTGAAGCAGGAGGATCACTTGAGCCCAGAAGATGAGGCTGCAGTGAGCTGTGATCTGATCACACTCCAGCCTGGGCAGGAGTGAGACCCTATCTCAAACAAACAAAATAAAAATAATTCATGAGCTAAAAAGTTCTATTGCCTTCAAGAAGAAAATACACTTACCAATGTATACTCACATAAAAGTCCTGCATGTCCCAAGCAGTCAGGACTGAGGTCGTCAAAAGAATTCAGGGCCACCCCACCCCAAGCAAGAGTCAGCCTGAAATAGCATTTTAAGGGAGGTGGATAAGCAGTGTTACCACTGAAGTTCAAAGAGAAGACAAGTAATTTTTAGGAAGGAATTTTTCAGAATTACACACAAAAATTACATTTTAAAATGTACTTTAACCTAAGCCTTTTAATTTGCCATCAACCAGCTGAAAACTAGTCTTTTAACCTTCCATTTAAACCACTCTCCCCAAGTCAGCAAATGAAATCTAAAAGTAGACAAGAGCTCTTTGTTGGCCAGGCATGGTGGCTCACACCTGTAATCCCGGCACTTTGGGAGGTTGAGGTGGGTGGATCACTTGAGGCCAGGAGTTTGAGACCAGTGTAGCCAACATGGCAAAACCCCATCTCTACTAAAAAAGCAAAACAAAACAATTCAGCGGGCATGGGGGCAGACACCCGTAATCCCAGCTATTTGGGAGGCTGAGGCACGAGAATCCTAGAACTCAGGAAGCGGAAGTTGCAGTGAACCAAGATCATACCACTGCACAACAGAGCAAGACTGTCTCAAAAAATAATAATATTTTTTAAAAAACCTTTATTGTGGTGAGCTCTTTGGGAGGACGTATACTGAATTCAGAGACAAAAAGTAAAATAATGTTTACAAGGGGCAAGAGGGAGGGAGAAATGGGGAGTAACTATTTAACGGGTATACAGTTTCAGTTTGTGATGATGAAAAAAATTCTAGAGATGTACAGTGCTGACGGGTGCAAAATAATGTGAATATAGTTAATGCCAATTAATTATACAGTTGAAAAACCCAAAAATAAAGTATAAGGAGAAAGAAATAATCCCAATTAATTTGCAAAATAAGTAAAAGTCAAATTACTTGGATAAATCTGCTACTTATACCTCTCCATATTTCTCCTTTTAGCTCTGCGCAGAGCGACTACGCCTTCTCTTGAAAGAGCATCTGAGGAAAAGGGGTCAATTCCCTATAACAAAAATAAAAATTAGTTTCAACATCTTCCACCTTAAAAGTAAAAAGGATGATACATACATACTAGTTTATACAATTAATTTTCATTCTCACCTTTTGATTAATAACAAATCCTTTATCTGAATCACCACAGACTTTCCTTTTCAGTTCTATTATTTAACTCTATCTTCAATGAATTTTCTTTCAGCTTTTATGAGTTTTTCTCTCTCTTCTGCACTCTTGTAAAAAAAAAAAAAAAAAAAAAGCCAGAATTCACTTCTCTATTAAGGAAAAAAAAAGTTACAGAAAGTAGGGAAACATTTATTTTTTGAGAAGAAAATAGCTTCTGAAACTGGATTAGTCCTAAGATTTAACAGAGAGTTCACTGAGCTCCACTCCTGCCCCTTGCACATCTTCAGAGGCTGTTTCCTGTAACTCTCCCAAACCAATTTGAGGATTATTGTCCTTACAGTGGGAAATCAAGTTTCACAAAAAAGTATCTCGCCTAAAATACGAAGCTCCTCCATTTCACTGTTAAGGGGCTATAAACTTAAGTTTTTTCATATTCTAATGACATGTTACAAGTGAGGATGTATGCATCCTCCACCCTTTTTTTCTATCAGGATGCTATACTCCGTGATCCAAAACAAGCCCTCTAATTAAGCTGTTCAAACACACAAAAAATTATGGTTATTGATCTCCAGATGGATGTGTGTTAAAACACTGAACTGAGAAGGTATTGATAATTTTCATGCAGTCAGTTTTGTTTCTTGAATTACTTGAAGATCCTATGCTGTACAGAAAAGTCTGCAGAGATAGTCTCCCTGGTAGGCTGTCAAACTGTGATGACATCCTTTAAAAATATGTTTTCTGGCCGGGCGCGGTGGCTCAAACCTGTAATCCCAGCACTTTGGGAGGCTGAGACGGGCGGATCACGAGGTCACAAGATCAAGACCATTCTGGCTAATACGGTGAAACCCCATCTCTACAAAAAAATACAAAAAACTAGCCGGGCGAGGTGGCGGGCACCTGTAATCCCAGCTACTCGGGAGGCTGAGGCAGGAGAATGGCGTGAACCCGGGAGGCGGAGCTTGCAGTAAGCTGAGATCCGGCCACTGCAGTCCAGCCTGGGGGACAGAGCGAGACTCCGTCTCAAAAAAAAAAAAAAAAAAAAAAAGTTTTCTGCCAAGCGCCTGTAATGCCAGCACTTGGGGAGGCAGAGGTGAGAGGACACCTTAATCCCAGGAATTCAAAACCAGCCTAGGCAGCATAGGGAGACTCCATTCTCCACTAAAAGAAGGGAAAAACGAACACAAACGTGTTTTCTAAGTGTTCGAAAAAATTTTTTAATTCCTCTGCTGCTTCTCATTATGCTTTGTACCTAGCAATTCAATAAATGCCAAATGACTGATGTTGTTCACTTTTCAGAACAATTCTAACCATAAATACAACATAACATTCACCGTATTTCAGGAGAAAATATTACTAAAAGTAAAAACAATATTCACCAAGCAATTTATCCAACTTATATCTGCAGGTAAATATATAATATTTTATATCCAAATATATTAAAAATTTTGCCAACAGTATATATTGTACAAAGCACCCTAAATTTCAAAACACATTTTATTTATTTATTTTTTTGAGATAGAGTTTTGCTCGTCACCCAGGCTGGAGTGCAATGGTGTGGTCTTGGCTCACTGCAACCACCGCCTCCCAGGTTCAAACAATTCTCCTGCCTCAGCCTCCCATGTAGCTGTGATTACATGCGTCTGCCACCATGCCTGGCTAATTTTTGTAATTTTAGTAGAGACAGGGTTTCCCCATGGTGGCCAGGCTGATCTTGAACTCCTGACCTCAGGTGATCCACCCACCTTGGCTTCCCAAAGTGCTGGGATTACATACAGGCGTTAGCCACCACGCCTGACCATTAGTATTTCAGTCTTCTACCACCTACCTTGTATCAGTTTCAGATTTATGTTTCATCTCCATGATCACAAAACCATGAAGAGATCAATAAGTTCATCTTTTCTTTTAATGGCCAAAATGGAGCCCACTACAGCCTGCAATAGAAGGATAACCATTAAGTAAATTCAATTTGCGGCAGCAGAAATATGTTGCTTTTCAGAAGGCTAAAGTAGACAGTTTCTTCATTTTACAATCTCTACACTGATTTGTCTTCTATAAGCAGATAGAATACATTATATATAAACAGCTGTTACCTTTCTGAAATCTCAATCTGTAATTCACAAACATTAACATTCCTTAATATTAACATTCCTCCTGTTGTTTCATTAAAAATACTGGTAACTGGAAGCTTTCTAATAACAAAATCTCCACTTTATAATCCTTTTAATGAAAGCTCCAATTTTATAACCTGGTTAGGTATACTATTATTTGAATTTCCTCATTTTACTTTTTAGAGACACAGATTAGGTATCACTGTCACAAAAATGAGCCTACATAGCACCTTGTAATTGAAATTGGTAATTATATTCATGTTTCTACTATCAGAGATTTTCTATATAGGTGTACCATAACAGACACACACAAAATTTAATATAGATCTCTGTTAAGACATCTGCAAATTCAGCGTGAACTTTGGTACGAGGAGATGCTCTGGCCACATCTTTAAGTGTTTCCTTGTCCATCTCTCTGCTTACTTTGACTTCTTCCAAAAACTGAAGGGCCTTTTCCTTCACAACTTCAAATCCTTCAGTGATTATTCTGGGATGAAGGTCCTACAATAAACACACAACAACACTCCCATCTTCAATTAGGTGCAACTATAGTTCATGATAAAGTTCAGATAATTCTTGGAGGGATATTCTGAATCATCATACCTTTGAACACGCAGTAACATAATGTGCTGGCTTTCTGAATACATTTAAAAGGATAAATACTCCTTTCAATGCAGAGGAGAAGAACAGACAATGCTCTAGCACAGGGTCAAAGCCAAGGGAACTATAAAGCACACTTGGGTGTTCACTGTGCAAACCACCTCGAATCATGCCAAAACCAACACTGTGTCCCAACAACTCGCAGATGGTAGCGTTATTCTATTTTTTCTATAGGTAATCTCAAACTAATTCACATAATTTACTAATAAAAATAAAGACGTCTGCTCTCTTCTGCCAGAAAATTCTGACAATAGATTCATAGTCCTTGAGGTTTATTTTAAACCTTGGAACTAGTCAGGGCTAAAAAAGTGGAATTTATCCAAATGTAAGCTTTTAGTTGGCTTTTTCCTAACAAATAAATATGCCTAGTCCTAAACATCCCATTTTAAAATCTCAATTATTAATTTACACTAAAGACAGATACAAATCACATAGGCAATTCAACTTGATTATAAAATTATTTTCAGGCCAAAGAAGGTTCCATAACCTGTCCAAGATCACAATTAATTTATTTTAGACCAGGACGAAGACCCAGATTTAAGCCCCCTAATTCTACTCTATGGTCTCAGCTAGTATTAACAACACATCAATTTGTATAAATAAATATCTGACATATCCTATATACAATGAAATATTACAGAAACAAGCTGTGCGCTGGGCGCGGTGGCTCATGCCTATAATCCCAGCACTTTGGGAGGCCAAGATGGGTGGATCACCTGAGGTCAAGAGTTTTGAGACCAGCCTGACCAACGTGGAGAAACCCCATCTCTACCAAAAATACAAAATTAGCTGGGCGTGGTGGAGCATGCCTGTAATCCCAGCTACTCGGGAGGCTGAGGCTAGGAATTGCTTGAACCCAGGAGGCGGTGGTTGCGGTGAGCCGAGATCACGCCATTGCACTCCAGCCTGGGCAACAAGAGTGAAACCCCATCTCGAAAAACAAAACAAAACAAAAAAGAGTTGTGCATACTTCAGAAATGTACAGATCCGCCTGTTTCAGTAGCTCTCCAATGATTAGGACATTGGAAGTCGTACCATCCCCAGTTATATAATCCTGGGCTGTTGCTACCTTTGCTATTAAGGAAGCTGTTGGGTGTTGAATTTGCTGAAAGTAGAAAAAGAATGAATCACTTAAAACAATATGAAGCAGTCTAAATATACCACAAATAAAATGCATGAAGGGCCTCTTTAAGTGCTATCTACTTGAAAAATCTACCCAAGAGTTTGGTTACAAATTGCTAAGATTAAAAAGTCACAATTAGCTATCATGCACATGCAATTATAATGATCAAAACATTTTCATGTGTAATTTATTTCCCAGGTTATCTCTACTTTACAGATGAGGAAGCTTGAGGCTCAGTAAAAGCTTACTCAAGATGACACAGCTAACAGTTAACAGTAACACATAATTTTACATCCTTGCCTCTTTACAGCAAGTACAGGGCTCTAGTGAGAATAAGCCAGGTATCTCCTAAAATGAAAGCTCAGCAGCCTCCACTGTTACTCTGCAATGATCAAATAATTTAAAAGGAAAGGTCAGGTGCGGTAGCTCATGCCTGTAATCCCAGCACTTTGGGAGGCCACTGCAGGTGGATCCCTTGAACTCAGGAATTTGAAACCGGCCTGCGCTACGTGGCAAAATCCTGTCTCTTAAAAAAAAAAAAAAAATAACGGAAAACATTGTATTTTAGAGGTAAAATGGCATGTCTCCAGTTTAACTTCAAATGATTCAGGGGAAAAATAGAAAAGAAATGGAGCAACATGTAAACAATTGGTGAATCAAGGTAAAGGGTACACACATTATAATCACTATCTTTGTAGGTTTATAATTTTTTCAAAGAAAACTGAAATACAAACTTCTGGAGATGGAAAGAGGTTCCAGTGGGAGGGGACTTCTAAGGTGGTAGCAACAATTTATTTCCTTTTTTTTTTTTTTTTTTTTGAGACAGAGTCTTGCTCTGTCACCCAGGCTGGAGTGCAGAGGCCAGATCTCAGCTCACTGCAAGCTCCGCCTCCCGGGATTACGCCATTCTCCTGCTTCAGCCTCCTGAGTAACTGGGACTACAGGCGCCCGCCACCTTGCCCGGCTAGTTTTTTGTATTTTTTAGTAGAGACTGGGTTTCACCATGTTAGCCAGGATGGTCTCGATCTCCTGACCTCGTGATCCGCCCGTCAAAGCCTCCCAAAGTGCTGGGATTACAGGCTTGAGCCACCGCACCCAGCAACAATTTATTTCTTAACTACAGTGGTGGTTGTGTGTGTCCACTTTATAATTATTTCCTAAACTGTAAATGTTCAATGTGCTTCTCTCTACTTATGCTGTATTTCTCACACACTAAAACCCAAATAATTTTTTTTTTTCATGTCAGTCTCACTCTGTTGCCTAGGCTGGAGAGTGCAGTGGCACAATCTTGGCTCACTGAAACCTCAGCCTCCTAGGTTCAAGCAATCAATTCTCCTGCCTCAGCCTCTGGAGGAGCTGAGACTACAGGCGTGCAGAACCATGCCCGACTAATTTTTGTGTTTTTAGTAGAGACAGAGTTTCACCATGTTGGCCAGGGCTGATCGTGAACTCCTGGCCTCAAGTGATCCACCTACCTCGGCCTTCCAAAGTGCTGAGATTACAAGCATGAGTCACAGCACCCAGCCCCCAAACAATTCTGATGTCAAGTTTAACTATGGTTCCACTTTTTTGCTAATGCAGGCCACCACTGAACCCACTTTAAAAAAAAAAAAAAACTATACCTCCTAGGTTAGCGAGTCTTTGCTAAACGTATTTCATCTGGATGTTGATGGCATGGTATACTACTAGCAAAACACTAATTATTATTCTGTACTCAAACCAGCAGGAAATCATTTCCTTTTCTGGTATTTGAACTGCGAAGTTTTGGGAATTTAGGGATGAGTAAAACACATACTCCCATCAATAATCTCATATTCTCCATCTCTAAGACTTTAAAAATGTTAAAGCAAAGAGATTTCTCTCCCCTCCAGTTGGAGATGGAGATAAGACATTAACAGAGAAATTGCTGTTTTAAAAAGAAAAACCGGCCCGATGCGGTGGCTCACGCCTGGTAATCCCAGCACTTTGGGACGTTGATTCAGGCAGATCACCTGAAGTCATGAGTTCAAGACCGGCCTGGTCAACATGGTGAAATCCCATCTCTATAAAGAATACAAAAATTAGCTGGGTGTGGTGGAGGGAGCCTGTAATCCCAGCTACTTGGGAAGCTGAGACAGGAGAATCGCTTGAACCCAGGAGGTGGAGGCTGCAGTGAGCCACTGGACTCCAGGTTGGGCAACAGTGAGACTCTGTCTTTAAAAAAAAAAAAAAAAAAAAAAAGCCATAAAGAGAAAAACCATCCTCATGCATTTTGACCATGTGATTGTGTCAACCACCCTTAATTTTTCAAATTTTATTATAATTAATGTACAATTACAATCCTTTAGCCCAGACTGTGAATGGCAAAAAAGCAGGGATTCAAAGACAGGGCTGTCAGACTCCAGGCACTGTCAGTACTATTACTGATTACATGTCACTTCTGAATGTTCTCTTTCCTTGAAAATGAACATGGTAAATCTTTCTTTTTTTTTTTTTTTTGAGACGGAGTCTGGCTCTGTCGCCCAGGCTGGAGTGCAGTGGCCGGATCTCAGCTCACTGCAAGCTCCGCCTCCCGGGTTTACGCCATTCTCCTGCCTCAGCCTCCCGAGTAGCTGGGACCACAGGCGCCGCCACCACGCCCGGCTAGTTTTTTGTATTTTTTAGTAGAGACAGGGTTTCACCGTGTTAGCCAGGATGGTCTCGATCTCCTGACTTCGTGATCCGCCCGTCTCGGCCTTGCTCTGTCGCCCAGGCTGGAGTGCAGTGGCCAGATCTCGGCTCACTGCAAGCTCCGCCTCCCGGGTTCACGCCATTCTCCTGCCTCAGCCTCCAGAGTAGCTGGGACTACAGGCGCCCGCCACCGCGCCCGGCTAGTTTTTTGTAATTTTTAGTAGAGACGGGGTTTCACCGTGTTAGCCAGGATGGTCTCGATCTCCTGACCTCGTGATCCACCCGTCTCCGCCTCCCAAAGTGCTGGGATTACAGGCTTGAGCCACCGCGCCCGGCCTGAACATGGTAAATCTTTCTACAAAGCAAAAGTTCTATGGAAAATCAAGACATTTCAGACCTAGCAGAGCACCTCTCACCATTTCGTGAAGCAGCACACTGTGCAGGAACATGCCTGACTAATTTTTGTATTTTTAGTAGAGACCGAGTTTCACCGTGTTGGCCAGGGCTGGTCGTCAACTCCTGTGTCTTTAGTAAGCCTGATGTCTCCAACGCGAGAAACAAGCCTGTTTAAGAGACAGAAATGAATCAGATTGTGACAAAAACGAAACTAATTAAAACGAAAACTAAATTCAAAAGTCCCATTAGAAAACGGGCTTTTTCGTCCGGCCGGGTGCGGTGGCTCACGCCTGTAAATCCCGGCACTTTGGGAGACCGAGGCGGGTGGATCACGAGGTCAGGATATCGAGACCATCCTGGCTAACACGGTGAAACCCCATGTCTACTAAAAATACAAAAAAAAAAAAAAAAAAAAAAAAAATTAGCTGGGCGTGGTGGCTGGCGCCTGTAGTCCCAGTTACTCGCGAGGCTGAGGCAGGAGAATGAGGTAAACCCGGGAGGCGGAGCTTGCAGTGAGCCGAGATCGTGCCACTGCACTTCACCCTGCCTGACAGAGCGAGACTCCGTGTCAAAAAACAAAAACAAAAAACAAAACCAAAAACACAAAAAACGGGCTTTTCCCAGATCTCAGGGAGCCGGGGATATGGAGCTAGTTATCAACGAAAACTAAATAAAAAAGTCCCATTAGAAAACGGGCTTTTCCCAGATCTTAGGGAGCCGAGGATATGGAACTAGTTATCTACCGCAGGCTGGAGGGCAGGTGTAGTGCCCACCCCGTCCCCGCAGAGATTGTGCAGAGTCCTCAGGGTGCCTGGAAGTCCCAGAAGGCGGGAAACGCCGCGCACTAGAGCCGCTTTTTTCTCCATGGAGACAGCATCGACGCAGAAAGAAATGGCCGCGATGGTGGGGCTTAGCAGGGAACAGGACCGGCCCGGGAGGACGCGGGGAAAGGAAGCTGCGGCGCCCCGAGGCGGCGGGCTCGCGTCCGCGGCCCTGGGCCCAGCGCGCGGTGCCCGCCCAGCCCTCCCGCCAGCCCCGCCTTACATCTTGATGGTACCTTTGGACCCCAGGTTGGTCCTCAGCACGTCCCGCAGACGCCGCGCCGCGCTGACGTTGACCGCCAGCGCTGCCTGCGCTCGGGCCACCTCGGTCTTGGGGTTCACGGTCTTCGCCGCCGCCACAGCTGCTGCAGAGGAGAAAAAGAAAGCCATGCGGCGCGCGGAGAGCTCAGAGCCGGCGCACCGTGGCCGGGAGGCACTATGCGGTTCCTCCGGAAAAGTTGGCGCGCCCGGCCCGCCCCTAGCGTGCCCGCGCGCCGCCGCCATTGGGCCACGGCCCGTGCGGCACACGCTCATTGGTTCGCGGCTGCATGGTGCCTGCGGTCCCACCCCTCGCGCCGCCGCCCTGACCTCGACGTTATCGCGCAAGGGAGCAACCTGTTCCCAGCAGTCAGTGCTACTAGGTTCCGGCGTTGAGGCTCAGTGGGGCACAGCTTTGCGGACCCAGGAGTTCAGGGTGCAGGCGGGGCTTGTGCTCCGCGCGGGGCAGGGCGTATGGTGGGTCTCCTCCCGCCCCTACTCGCGCGTTTTGCTCCTCAGTCTCCTTCTCTTGCTGCTTTCATGGCTTTCTTTGGAGCTTTCTGGACCTTGTGCTTGACGGTGCTGCAGGTGCCGTGGGGACACACAAGCTAGTCTGATAAGCACTCTCCCCCAGGATCATGCGGTGCTGTAAGGACTAGCGAAGATGAAGATAGAATCCAAGGTAGAAAGTGCTGGATGCCTTTAGAAAGCTGCAGGACTGGTGCGATGGGAGTTGAGTTGTAAGAACCTGTCTGTCCGTAGGACTCAGGATGCTGCTGAGGCCCTGGGCTTCCATGGTAGATTTGAAAACTCACCCTTGTAGAGTCATGGTGTCCAGCCTTTGAGAGGACTCCCTTTTAAGGTAAATTTCCAAAGAGCTACACAATTGTTTCCAGTATCCAGTGCCCGCCAAATACCAGGGATTCAGTAACACGTGATATTTTACTTTATTATTTTTTTTCTTTTTGCAGACACAGGCCTCACTCTGTTGCCCAGGGTAGTCTCAAATTCCTGAGCTCAAGTGATACTCCTGCGCTTAAGTGATCCTCTCGCCTCGGCCTCCCAAAGTGCTGGGGTTACAGCTGGTGTTTTATTTTTAATAGATAAGGGAAATTGTTCTGAATTCAAAAGGCATAAAAGGGCATGTGGAAATTAAATCATCCTCCCGCCTCTAGTTCAACACTAGAGACAAGCACGGTTACCCTTGGATATTCGATGAATTTTCGGAATGCTTTCTGAATTTATAAACTTATATATGAATATAATCATTTCCCCACACAAATCGCAATTCCTAATACATACTGTGGGGTGTGTTATACTTTAAGTGTCTTGGAGAGTGTGCAATATCAAGATGAACGGGAAGTCCTCGTTAACAGCTGCGGGATGTTCTTTGTAAGAATTACACAACTAGGGGCCGGGGCACGGTGGCTCACAACTGTAATCCCGACAATTTGGGAGGCCAAGGGGGGCGGATCACTTGTGCCAGGGAGTTCAAGACCAGCCTGGGCAACACAGTGAGACCCCATCTATACAAAAAGTACAAAAATTAGCTGGGCGTGGTGGTGCACGCCCATGGTCCCAGCTACTCGAGAGGCTGAGGTGGGAGGATTGCCGGAATCTAGGAGGCGGAGGTTGCAGTCTGCTATGGTATTGCCACTGCACTCCAGCCTGGGCGACAGAGCCGACCCTGTCTCAAAAAGAATGACACAATTAACCGTTCATCTACTGACTGATGTTTAAGTTGTTCCCAATCTGCTATTCAGGCTGCAGTGAATATCGGTATATGATGCTTTTAGGAGGGTTTGTGTATTTGAGAATCACAAAAACGTATATATATATGTGACTAGAAGCACTGCACAATAGAAGACTAGTTATTAGTTCCATAGGTATTACATGGTGTGCATGCAGATTTATTATAACTGCTGTTAAAAATGTTATGAGGAGACCAGGCGTGGTGGCCCCCGCTTGTAATCCCAGCACTTTGGGAAGCTGAGGCGGGCAGATCACTTGAAGTCAGGAGGTCAAGACCATCCTGGCCAACATGGTGAAACCCTGTCTCTGTAAAAATACAAACATTAGCCCGACCAACATGGTGAAACACTGTCTCTGTAAAAATACAAAAATTAGCCTGGCATGGTGGTGTGCATCTGTGATCCAAGCTACTCAGAGGCTGAGGCATGAGAATTGCATGAACTTGGGAAGGAGGGGTTGTAGTGAGCCAAGATCATGCCACTGCACTCCAGCCTAGGTGACAGAGCCAGACTCTGTCTCAAAGAAACAAAAACAAAAAAAAAGGCCGAGTGTGGTGGCTCACGCCTGTAATCCCAGCACTTTGGGAGACCGAGGCGGGTGGATCACGAGATCAGGAGATCAAGACCATCCTGGCTAACGCAGTGAAACCCCGTCTCTACTAAAAAATACAAAAAAAAAAAAAAAAAAATTAGCTGGGCGTAATGGTGGGCGCCTGTAGTCCCAGCTACTCGGGAGCCTGAGGCAGGAGAATGGTATGAACCTGGGAGGTGGAGCTTGCAGTGAGCCGGGGAAAAAAAAAAAAAAAGGGCCGGGCACGGTGGCTCGCGCCTGCAATCCCAACACTTTGTGAGGCTGAGGCAGGCAGATGATTTGAGGTCAGGAGTTCAAGACCAGCCTGGCCAACATGGTGAAACCCCATCTCTACCAAAAATACAAAAAGTTAGCCGGGTGTGGTGGTGCACACCTGTAGTCCCAGCTACTTGGGAGGCTGAGACAGGAGAATCGCTTAAATTCTGTAGAGAGAGGTTGCAGTGAGCCAAGATCATGTTACTGCACTCCAGCCTGGGCGACAGAGCGAGACTCCTCACAAAAAAAAAAAAAAAAGGCTGGGCATGGTGGTTCACACCTGTGATCCCAGTACTTTGGGAGGCTGAGGTGGGTGGATCACCTGAGGTCAGGAGTTCCAGAGCAGCCTGGCCAACGTGGTGAAACCCGTCTCTACCAAAAATACAAAAGTTAGCCTGGCATGGTGGCGGCCACCTGTAATCCCAGCTACTCAGGAGGCTGAGGCAGGAGAATCGTTTGAATCCGGGAGTCGGAGGTTACAGTGAGCCGAGATCACACCATTGCACTCCAGCCTGGGCGACAAGAGTGAGACTTGTTGCCCAGGTGACATGATGGAAATATATTAAATACATAAATAGGTGTTCTTGATAGGGGGAAAAAACATTTTAAATAACATGTATAAGAAGTTCTCACTTTTGAAACATTTCCCATGGGTCTATACAGGGAGGGGAACATCACACACTGGGGCCTGTCGGGGTCGGGGACAAGGGGAGGGAGAGCATTAGGACAAATACCTAATGCAAGCGGGGTTTAAAACCTAGAGGATGGGTTGATGGGTGCAGCAAATCACTATGGCATGTGTATACCTATGTAACAAACCTGCATATTCTGCACATGTATCCCAAACTTAAAGCAAAAAAAAGAGCCTGGTGTGGTGGCGCATGCCTGTAATCCCAGCTAATTAGGTGGCTGAGGCAGAATTGCTTGAACCCGGTAGGCAGAGGTTGCAGTGAGCCAAAATTGCAGCACTGCATTCCCAGCCTGGGCAACAGGGTGAGACCCTGTCTCAAAAATAAAAACAAAAATAATTTGTAAAAAACAGTAAGAAGAATTTCGATACTCTACACTCAGATCCTCCAAATGTAAACATCATATTTAATCCTATAATAAGAAATTAACATTGATGCATGATCCAATCTATAGATTTCATTCAAATTTTGCTAATTATATCATGATTGTTCTATCTCTGGCCCTGGATTCTATTTATCCAGAATTATGCTTCGCATTTAGTTGTCATGTCTGCATGTTTTTAATGATCTTGGCATTGCTTTTAGTACTGGCCAGTTATTTTACAGAATGTCCCTTACTTTAGGGTTATTTGATGTTTCCTTATGAATTTTTTTTTTTTTTTTAATTTTTTTGAGACAGAGTCTCGCCCTTTTGCCCAGGCTGGAGTGCAGTGGCACAGTCTCTGCTCACTGCAGCCTCTACCTCGTGGGTTCAAGTGATTCTCCTGCCTCAGCCTCCAGAGTACCTGGGATTACAGGTGCCCACCACCACTCCCGGCTAATTTTTGTATTTTTAGTAGAGATGGGGTTTCACCATTTTGGCCAGGCTGGTCTCTAACTCCTGACCTCAGGTGATCTGCCCGCCTTGGCCTCCCAGAGTTCTGGGATTACAGGCATGAGCCACTGTGCCTGGCCCGACGTTTCCTTATGTTTAAATGCAGGTTGTGGCTGGTCGCAGTGGCTCACGCCTATAATCCCAGGACCCGCTGAGGTGGGTGGATCACATGGTCAAGAGATCGAGACCATCTTGGCCAACATGGTAAAACCCTGTCTCTACTAAAAATATAAAAAATTAGCTGGGTATGGTGGCACGTGCCTGTAATCCCAGCTACTCAGGAGGCTGAGACAGGAGAATCACTTGAACCTGGGAAGCAGACGTTGCAGTAAGCCAAGATCACACAACTGCACTCCAGCCTGGGCAACAGAGCGAGATTCCGTCTCAAAAAAAAAAAAGCAGATTATTCATATTTGGCAAGAACACCAGAGAAATTATGTGGCCTTTTCAAGGCATCACAGGAAGAGTCACATGGTGTCAGTTTTTCCCATTCTGCTATTTTTATTAGAGAAAGGGTTTTGCCATGTTGTCCCAGCTGGCCTCCAACTCCTGGCCTCCCAAAGTGCTGGGATTACAGGCGTGAGCCACTCACTGTGCCCAGCGCACTCACATGTTTCTGATGTCTTTCCATGTCCAAATTTTCTCTTCTTACAAGGACACTGATCAGATTAGATTAGGGCTCACTCTAAAGACCTCATTTTAACATAATCCCCTCTTAAAAGACCTTGTCTCCGGGACGGGTGAAGTGGCTCATACCTGTAATCTCAGCACTTTGGGACACTGAGGCAGGCAGATTACGAGGTCAAGAGATCAAGACCATTCTGGCCAACATGGTGAAACTCCATCTATACTAAAAATACAAAAATTAGCTGGGCACGGTGGTGGGCACCTGTAGTCCCAGCTACTCAGGAGGCTGAGGCAGGAGAATCGCTTGAACCCAGGAGGTGGAGGTTGCAGTGAGCTGAGATCACACCACTGCACTCCAGCCTGGCAACAGAGCAAGACTCGGTCTCAAACGAACGAACATACAAATGAAAACCTTGTCGCCAAATATAGTCACATTCTGAGGTACTGGGGGTTAAGACTTCAAGATGTGGACTTTGGGGGAGCACAGTTCAGTCCATAACAAAGGTGTCCCTTTCTATTTTCTTTCTTTAATCCATTATAGAATGAGCTGTATTTTCCTGGACTGATCATTTGCAAGGGTCTTCTCTGAAGGAAAGGGACCAGGGTAGTTTTCCAAGCTTCTCAATGCAAATGAAGATTTTCAGCTGCCACAGTCAGACTGTGGCATTCAATGTGGCTCTTGGTGGTTTTTGTGTAGCTCTGCCTCCTTTGCTGTGTACTATTTTTTGTTTTGTTTTGTTTATTTTTATTTTTGTTGTTTCTTTGTACTGTTCTAAACTGGCCCTGTAGGGCTTCTCCTCCCAGTCCAGTACTCCCTAGCATCACCACCAATCACTGCACATAGGGCACACAGCCCCTGCATTTCCTGTGACCTCTTCATCTACTTTCTTCCTTTTTTTTTCTGGAGTGCAGTGGTGCAATCTCAGCTCATTGCAACCTCCACCTCCTGGATTCAAGGGATTCTTGTGCCTCAGCCTCCCAAGTAGCTGGGATTACAGTTGTGAGCCACCGTGTCCGGCTTTTTTGGTATTTTTTTTGTAGAGATGGGGTTTTGCTATGTCACCCGGGCTGGTC